GTGAAATATATCTCAGACTCCGTTTGATTGGCGGAATTTTCCAGGGAAGTAGGAAAGTATTTTCCTACTCTCACTTTTTTGACTGTTTGATATGCGAAATTTTCCACGGAAAATATTTTCCTTCCTTTTTCTAGGTACAACCCTTTGATACACAAATGGTGGAAAATATTTTTCCACCTAATAGGTGGAAAATGTTTTTTGTTTGTTTGTTTGTTTGTTTTTTTTTTGCAATGAGAACAAATTCTAGACACAATGGTAAAAAAAAAATTCATTTTTATCGACAACTTTCATGCAAAATAAAATTAAACGAATGATAATCGGTATGGTAAAATTTTTTTTTTTCAAAATTTTTTTTTTGACAATGAGAACAAATTTAGACTCAATAGTAGAAAAAATTATCATTTTAATGGATAAATTCCATAAAAACCGAAGTCAAATGGACACCAAATTTTCAACATTTTCTATAAAAAATTATACAAATCAAACGCAATTAATTACAATTCCTAGTAAAACATTTTCTAAGAAAATCAATTCCCTATAAAACATTTTCTTTCTACTCATTTTTCATCCTTACAATCAAATTGACCCTCACATAAATAAGTTTTCCATCTGCAATTGACGAGGGTTGGGTGATACACGCATTTCGGGCAGCCCCCACGTGGCCTTAATTCAACGTTGAGAAAGAATTTTGACGGGAAGCATGTGGGGACAAGGGGACTTTGATAATTGAGCAAATGCAAGAATCAAATCAAAAGGTGCAACTCTGTAAATAATCCCACTTGGCATCTACGACCTGAAAGGTTGAAAGAGAATGCCACGTTGTTTATTCTAGTTTCATAAGCATGGCTAAGCTTAAACAAAAGTAAAAATCACTTTTAAGTAAAAAGGAAAAAAGAAGATGGAATAGAAGGGTATCAATTTGGGTGGTCATCCCTTTCTTTACGAAAATAGTTTCATTGTATTAGAATCCCACATTGACTGATGATATTAACACGATTCACTTAGTAAGATTAGAGCAATCCTCCCATAACAAGTCTGTTTTGTTAAGTTGAGTTAGACTCAATATCATTTCTAAATGGTATCAGAGCAGACCCAGACTTACAATGTTGGGTGCACTCAATATCGATTTGTTCGCAGTTGTTTGACATGATCCACGCTGTGCGTGAGGGGGCATATTAGAATCCCATATTGGCTGGTGATATTAACACGATCCACTTAATAAGGTGATGACAATCCTCCCCTAATAAGCCGGTTTTGTTAGATTGAGTTAGACTCAATATCCTTTCTAATACATTGGCGCTTGCTTCTGTCTGATCTCATGTTGTAACAAGCTTCAACCTTAAAATGGGTTATGGCCTATGGGTATCAATCAGTCTCAATTTCTCTGTAAAGAAAACATAAAAAACAGAAGAAAGTAAAAGCTTGGATTCGTTTTACGGGCTTAATTCCAAAGCACCACCCTTTCCTTTGCTTTCCATCTTTGTTTGAAGCTTCTTTGTCAAGATTATTAGCTAGTTTTTTTGTGCTTTTGTTTTAGGTATTAATATCTCAAAACGACAAAAATAAGTGTAGTACATAAAAAAAATTTTGGCTATTGAAAAATTGAAATATCAATTTAAATTCTATTGTTTCAATCTCAAGTTTGTCTTTAACTTTTAAAAGAAGCAAGTTGGTCTGCAATATTTCATTATTATAGCATCTTCGATTATAGATATTGTACAAATCTTCGTTAAATTAGTATGTGGCCTTGACGAAAGTATTTCTCACTTTATATCTATCGAATGTTGAGAAGTAAAATCTAGCTTCATAAATTAATGCAAGTTTTTAATTTGACTTGATACACATTTGAAAGATTCTTTTCACTAAAACTGCGTTGTATAATTATCACTTGTATAATGAAAGGTTAAACGTGAATTAATTCTTTTTAAAAGACAAAAAATAAAATAAAATTGGGGTTTTCTCTTGTTGGTAATCTATCAACGACTCTTTCATTGTGAAAACGATTTATAATGCACGTTCGTATCTTAAAAAAAAATTACAATATACATGGAAGATGTTTGGTACATTAAATTAAGAGTCTGATTGAGCTCCATTTTTTTGCAAAGAATGCATTTTAAAATAATAGATTAATGAAGAATGTGTGGTTAAAAAAATAAGAAAAAATTTTCGATTTGTATGTAATATTATTTTATTGAAAAATGTATGATTGAAAAAAAAAAAAAGAAAAAAATTATTTTAAAAATAATGAGGATCAAACAAAGGCTAAATGAAAGTTGACAAGTTATCCTACATACCCTAATATATCCGGTCCTGTAACATTCGAAAATTATTTTTTAAAAAATCATGTTTAATTTTTTTTAACGTATTAGCCCGACTTGTAATCGAGTCCTGGATCTGTCTCTGGATGTGATTATGTCAATTCAAAATATTTACTAAAAATGAGTAATGTGATGTGTGGGCCCGATTGACAAGGTAAATCTAATAAGACAAGTGTTACATATGAAGTAAGTTCTTGACCAAGAAATTTGACCTAGAAGTCTAGAATGCATGTGGAGTGTATAAAGGTTGAAGCTATTTTCAAATAGGATAAGCTACATTTATGAGGCTCATATAAAAGGATAAAATATAATATTTTATAGGTTTGTTTGACAAAGTTTTTATCAAATTTTGATAAAACTTGAAGAAATACATGATTAAAAGTTGATAATCTCATAAAATATGTTATTAAAATTAAAATTTGATCAATTAAGCATAAGCGCTTGCTAATCGATTAGCAAAGTTTTGTTATACAAGAACACAGGACACCTAACCCCGACATGGGAAAAGAAAGTTCAAGGAACTTTTGGATATTGGTGCTCGGAAAATTGCTATATGTATTGAAATATTTACAGCTTTTTTGACAGGTATTAGATGTTGGACAAAAAATAAAGTAAGTCAGTCAATACGGTGTTGCCACCTCATCATCTATAATGTTTTTTGTACATTTCATTTGTATAATTAAGGAGCTTAATTCTTGGTGCCCACGACTTTTTGTAATGAGACATTTTTTTTTAACGTGGGAGTGGGTTATAGCCTATGGGTATCAATCGGTTTCCATTTCTGTATACAAAACACAGAAGAAAGTAAAAGCCTGGATTCGACACCTTTTCCTTTTCTTTTCATCTTTGTTTGATGCTTCTTTGTCAAGATTATTAGTGTTTTGTGCTTTTATTTTAGGTATTAATATCTCAAAACGACAAAAAAGAAGGTGTAGTACATATAAAAATAGATCAGTTTTTGGCTATTTAAAATATTGGAAAAATTCACTATTGATTTATATTCTATCATTTCAATAGCAAGTTTGTCTTTCAACTTTTAACAAATGAAGCAAATTGATCTCTATTATTTTATTATTATAGCATCTTCAATGATAGATGGGGTCAAAATATGCATTAAATTTGCAAGTGATCTTGACAGAAGACAAGTCACGCAACATATAATTTAAGTTGAGAAGTAAAATTTAACTTTATAAAGTTAAATACGCAAGTTGTAGTTTTATTTAATATAGAATTTAACGATTCCTTTTATCATACAAGTATAACTTGTATAAAGGTTAAACATAACGGAATTGGGTCCAGTCGTTGCGGTTGAGACGCTTTAGCTGAGGCGAACCACATGTGATACAAATGTGTCACTTTGCATATGTGCAAACCAAATTGAAATAGTCCAAGAAGGGGATTATTCAATTGACAATCAGTCAGAGCCACGTTGCAGAAACCTAATGCAAAAAATACGAGCACAAGCACTATATGGCTATTATAGGCCGAGCCGTTCTAACATGGCTAAACTCGTATCCCAACCCACATGACGGAACATGGTCCATTCTTTGCGGTCGAGCCGCTTCAGTTGAGGCGAACCACATGAGACACCTCAAGAGAGCCTTTACGAAAGGTCCCATTACAAGTGAGTGATGTGACAACTCACTTAATATGCGGTTCTACATAACCAAACAAGTCAAGTTTAATCTTACATGTCAGGCCTATGACTATCAAGCTGTCACAACATTAAATGTAGCATGACTTATGAATGATTGATGAATGTCCATGACAAAAGACCTCAGCCGCTAGGATGAGGCTACGTGTCTCTTGATCCAATGACTCTTATTTATACTTTTTTACTATAAAAACCTACACTTATTACCATTTAAAGGTAATGTGAGTTTATTCTTTAAGCTTTGAACTTCGCTCTCTCTTACTCTCTCTATTATTCCGAAATTTGAACCCCTTTTACATAAAGTAGTTCATGTCCGTAGCACATCACACTCCCAAATATATACTTTTGCATAGGATGGCTTGATCGTCGGAGTACCTACGACCACCTCCTACACCAATGGAAATCGGCGTACGCTTTAACAGTTTGTCCAATTATGCAAGGAGGAACTACGTGAACGTGAGAGAAGTTAAGCTCTGTAGACCATGCACCTCTCAAAAAAGTGAGGTCAGCATCAATCACAACATGATGGACGGAGTGATTGATCTTTGTGCATTCAAACAACCGTAGTACAAATGTTTCTTTTATAACAAAAGATAAAGACCCCAAGGAAAAAAACAGAAGAAAACAACCTTCGCAGGGACCATGTCCTATGTTTATATAGATTTCCTCCTTGCATTCAATGCTCAATTGACAAATAAATACTCTTTACTCTGCAATATTTTTATATTTCATAATCTTCTTTCGTCACAACTCTCACGACTCTCCACTTAAGTGTACATTGTTTCGGGTTCTTTACTAAACACAAGCTATAGTAATTTTTGCCTAGGAGAACCCTCAGTATTTTTTCTTGAAAATTTTCTTCAATTCTTTTTATTGACTTGGAAATATCAATGGATTCCTCACTTTGACTCCAATTGAACAAATGATTGCTGCTCACTAAGTGGAAATATCTATGGATCCTAAGTTATGAGCTGTTTTAATCCCATTAACAACCCCAGCCAAACTAAAATCCACTCGGAATTACCATAATGCCTTCCCGTCAATTTCCGCCACGTCCGGACCTCCACCACCACCACTTCCACCACCTGGTTCCCTTACTGGCCGGCGGACTGACAGCGGCTTTTTCCCTCCTCGTTCTCCTCACTATCTGCCTTCTCAAGTTCACCAAGAAACGCACTGCTCCTTCCTCCGACACTGATTGCAAGAAACCCCCTCACAAACTCTCCTACTCCCTCCTCCGCCATGCCACCTCCAACTTCTGCCCCTCCCTTCGCCTCGGCCAAGGTGGGTTCGGCTCCGTATACCGTGGCATCATTACGCTTGACTCCATCTCCAAGAACTTGTCTTTCCACGTTGCGATCAAGCTATTGGACTCTGGGTCACTCCAAGGTGAGCGTGAGTTCCAAAATGAACTGTTTTTTTCGTCAAAAATTGATTCTCAATACGTTGTTTCCGTGATGGGTTTTTCATCCAATCCCAGAAAACGTCGCATGCTTTTGGTTTATGAGCTAATGGAAAACGGCAGCTTGCAAGATTGTCTTTTTTATCGAAAATGTGAAGAGTTAAAAAACTGGGACAAGAGGTTTTTAATTGCTTTGGATATAGCTAAAGGGCTTGAGTATTTACATCACTGCTGTGATCCTCCAATTATTCATGGTGATGTTAAGCTGAGTAATATTTTGTTGGACGGGAGTTTGAATGCAAAAATTGCTGATTTTGGGTTGGCTAGGTTGAAGTTGGAAGAGAATGTTGAAGGTGAGGTGAAGGAGGGTAATTTGGGTAATGGGGTGGAGGATAATGGATCTGTATTGGAGGAGACAGAGAGTGCGATCACAGCCAGTGGGTTTGAGGAGTTCAATAATGCTCATCATCGAGTGGGAGTGGAAATGTCACCGGATGGTGCTTTTCTGCGGGTTGAGGCCTCGCCAGAGGTGAAAATGAGGGTAGAATTGTCACCCGAGGCAGAGATGGCTCCTGTGGTGTCGCCGACGACAGTGGCTGCAGTGGCATTACCATCCGAGGGTTTGGAGAAGACGAGCGAATCGGATGGGAATTTTGATAAAGTTAGTATTGAGAGTGGGGGAGAAAGGAACATGTGGAAAAAGAAGAAGAAGAATTTTTCTGGGAATGATTGGTGGTGGAAGCAAGATAATGGAGGAGAAGGGGAGTCAGAAGCCCACTTCCTAATACACTACCTTACCTAACCCTTACTTTAGTTCTTCCTCTCTGGTTTCTCGCTCACCCAACCTCGCAGCAGTTCGCGACCTCACCAACCCTTTAACCTCTTTTTCTTGAAGAAGAAGAAGAAGGAAAAGCAGCTGGATTGGTGGGTGTCTTTGGATGACAACAAGAATTTGAAGAAGGATAAGAGGAGGCCTGCAAGGGAGTGGTGGAAGGAAGAGTATTGTGCAGAGCTCGAGAGGAAGAAGAAGAAGAAAAAATACTTGCAGGGGTCAATAAGTGATGATTGTTATAATGAGAATTGGGTGCCAAGAGACGGTCAATTGTCTGCTGATAGAAAGAAAAAATGTAGGAACAGGAGTAGAGGTAGTGTGGATTGGAGGTTGAATGGGTTTAGTGGTGAGCTTTGGAGAGTGCGAAGAAATAGTTATGATTCTATCAGTGGGGAGATACCTAAGAGTGGTGGTATTAGCAGCACACCAAGTATGAGAGGAACTGTGTGCTATGTTGCACCAGAGTATGGTGATGGGTTTGATATATCTGAGAAATGCGATGTTTACAGTTATGGAGTTAGTTTGTTAGTTCTTATTGCGGGACGTAGGCCACTTCAGGTGATGGGGTCACCCATATCAGAATTCCGACGAGCCAATCTTCTATCTTGGGCACGCCATCTTGCCTGGTCTGGGAAGCTTCTTGATTTAGTTGATCAGAACATTCAATCTTTAAACAAAGAACAAGCCCTGCTATGCATCACCGTGGCACTACTCTGCCTGCAAAAGTCACCTGCACGCCGACCTTCAATGAAAGAGGTCGTGGGGATGCTGTGTGGAGATTTGGAATCTCCGCAGCTACCAGTTGAATTTTCCTCTTCACCTCCCTCCCACTTCCCATTTAAGTCACGCAGGAAATTTCAGTGAGTTTTTGTCTGATTCCTACTTCTCCATGAAGAGAACTGTAGGCATTTATTTTTGTGAATGACTAATGTAAAGAAAAAGAAGGAGATGAAATTACATATGAACCAAAGGATCCAACCATCAATCTTTTGTCTTAATTTAAGAATCACCTACAAATATTATGTGTATTCTTGTTTGGATAAGTAATTTAATTTTTAAATCTTTGAGGTCCCATGATATTGATTAAGCAGAGTGTCTTCTTGTCTTGTGACTGTGTTAGGGACAGGCGTCTTCACAAGAACTGTTGACAATCTTCTCAAATTATGTCAACTTTTATATGAATATAGTGTTATAATATGCTTAGAAATGGCTTTTAAAATAAAATGACTACTGAATGAATAGATAATGTGGTGGTATCTGCAGAAGAGAGCACAGCACAGCACACGCTCTTGCTCGTGTTATCCTTATGAAAAGTTTTAGTTATGCATCGAAAGAAAATAATCAAAGTTGATGGAGACATATAAAGTAAAACACATTTCCTATTTCTTTCGACTCATATTGAAGCACAACTATCTGCACCTGATTATGTCTGGAGCCTAATAACTGTGCTGGAATCGGATACCATTTCTTTATGATATTTATTCTGTTGGATTCGATTGCGTTTTTGTACTCTTCTGAGAGATTTAGTTTACTCTTGAAACTTGTTTTTAATTTTATCTTCTGCAACTTGTTTCTGGTTCCATTATGTATGTATGAGTTGCTAATGCAAAGAAGTATATATCTGGTTCTAATTTTTCAAGTAGAGCTACAATTGCTGTACAAGTACAATTTCATACCGCATTTAATTATGTACGTATGAGTCACAATCCTACCGCATTTATGAATTCATGTAATTACATTTAATTTCCATCATCCCCCTTAAACATGATTTTCTGCAAACTCAGAGTGAAACTCAGCTTCTTGAAAGTATCTACTTTGAGAGGCTTCGTAAAAATACCTGCAACTTGATCTTCTGTTCTCACATTCTTCAAATTGACTCCTTTTTTGAAATGCACTCTAATGAAATGAAACCTTGTATTCATGTGCTTACTTTGATTATGGAACTCCAGGTTCTTTGACAAAGCAATAGTTTGATTACTTGTCCACATTAATCTCTGTTTCTTCCTTTTGCATTAGTCCGAGTTCTTTGAGCAGATTTCTCAACCATATTGCATGACAAATACCAGAAGTGGCCACAACATATTCAACCTCACAAGTAGACAGAATCACAATGGGTCGCTTTTTAGAATTCCAAGTGAAAACGGTGTTTTGACATTGTTTCAACTATAAAAGTTAGTTTCTAAGAAAAATACGCAAGGTGTCAAAAAATACCTTCTAGGCTTTTAATGATGTTTTAACTAAAAAACTGTAGATGTTATTGATTATCTTTTTAATGGACTTAGTCTAGCTCACACAAATTCTGTTGTCGATTCTTTATGATTTCACCAAGTGTATTTTTGGCGGAACTTTGCTTTTAAGTTGTTCAACATTTTCTTAACCACACATTCCGGTCAACAACTTTTATCTAATTTTTAACTACATATTTTTGGGACGTATTGAGTATAATCACTTTATCTTAGACAAGCAGCAATAAGTGAACCTTTAGTCGTTAGCACACGGCTATATTGCACACGATAATCAACAAAAGCTAACTTTTTTTTTTTTTTTTAAATTTAATCCTAGCTAGTTCTGTTTGATCCAAAATATCAAATATATCATAAAATCAATGTATATAGGTAAGGTTGCTTTGGCACGTGGTATTTCGGTTAGAAAGACTTCTTTAACTCTACGGTAGTAATGAATTTCATTATGTACGTCTTTGAACGTCATCCAGATAATTGTAAATCTATATATATATTCTATAGTTTTAAAACGTTCTCTCCTCTTAATTTCCTCACGATATAAACTTCTTGAAACTATTGCCAACATCATTTCAATGATGATGAGGGAGATTAGTTTCTTCCTATTAGTAATGATTTCAGGAAGTTTCTTATGTACTCTACAGAATATTTTTAAAATGGGTTTCGACAGTCCCATAATTAAGGTCTTTCTAAACTTAATTTTTTTTAAAGATAATGTTGTTGAGGGATAAAAATCCCACATCGAATAAAGATGAATACATAGACCAATTTAAAAGAGTTCGGACTACTCCTTTTAATAAGGTTGACATTTTAAGACGAAACTCCAAATCTTAACATGGTATTAGAGCCCATATAGCTCCAACGAACAATTCGATCCGATTGGGACTCAAAAAAAATTGATTACATGAATTTTAAGATTCGTCTGCTCAAACAAGCCACAATTTTGTGGGGACATTTTAAGGGAGATACTCTTCTTAATAAGGTTGACCTTTTAAGATGGAACTGTAAAGTAAGGATTTTAATCGAACATGTGGGCTTATATGAAAAATAATGTGTACTAAATTAAAGGCTATCAATTTTTGTAAAGTCAGTTTAAAATGATCTAATAAGGNTCGATATTTTGGGATTTAAAACATCTAATTAAAGTATGAGCTTATATGTGTAGAGATCGGGTCTGTTCCTAATTTCATGATGGGCTGAATTAGGTCAATGGGCAATTGATATAAATATACGGTTATGATCCCAGGATCACATGTTCTGTTCATTCTATTCTGACTCCCATATTTAGAGAGAAACAAAGGAACTACGTGTTGATCTGGAAGACTAAAACCGCAGGACTTGTTCACTGCGATAATCATGTCTGATTCAAGTACGTTTCCGTTTTTGGTTATTTAGTTTTTGATGATTCAACATGAACGATCCTTATGACGGTAAAAAATATTATTTTTTCCAACAACTAGTATCAGAATCTCTTCATGTTGAATCATTGAAAATCCAAATTTTTATTTGATTCTTGATAATTTTATGGTTTCAAATTTAACAATCCCGGATTTAGTTTTGTTAAATTTGAACATTATTCGGTTGGTCTTCCATGATTCGGTTTTTCAGATTTCATTTTTTTTTAAAATAAAATTTGGTGTTCCAAATTCGCCACTGCCCGATTGCAGAAACCGACGTTGCTGCTTTCAGCAGTGCCAGCTGTTACAGGCTAGGGACGGCGACCACCGTCCCCGGATTCTTTCATTATAATTTTTTTAATTTTTTTTTTAGGGTTTGGGTAGATTTGGAGGCGGGAGTATGAGCTGGAAATTTGAAGTGATTGAGCCCTTGTTTGCAATTTAAAATTAGGGTTTAGTATTTACAGTTTCAGCTCTTTAAGTTTGTAACTTTGGTTATTTCAGCCCCTAAGGTTATAATTCACTCAATTGGACCATTTAAAGTTTCGGATTTAATAATTCAGTACCTAAGGTTTGAAAATTAATTAATTTGGGCCATTAAAGTTTTGAAATTTGCAATTAAGCCCCTGAAATTTCACAATTAATTTAAGTTGACCGCTAAAGCTTTCAATAATTAATTTTTTGGATCCCTAAAGTTTTGCATAATTAAATTTTGACTCCTAAAACTTTCAATAATTAATTATTGACCCCTAAAGTTCTGGATAATTAATTTTTGATCCCTTGAGTTCTGAATTATTAACTTAAAGGTCCCTAAAGTTTCAAAATTACTCAAATATGCAAATTTGGTGATTCTTTTTTTAAATTTTGGTACAAAAGACTCTTTTGAGAGGTATAATATTCGAAAGTGAATTAATTGAAACAATATGTTGTCAAAGCAACCTCTCTTGTGGAAATTAATCAACTTAGAATATTAAAAGGTGTTTATGTGTGTGCTATTCATGTGAATATTTGATCGGCCCAAGGGAAGGTCAGTATTTGGCCGAATTGCTCATACACCTGTGATGATAAACATGTAGCGATTATTTGGTTTAATGCGTGATCAATAAATCGGTCCAAAGACAGATTTATTGATTGACATGTTTCTTTATTGTCAATATTTAATCACTACAATAAGAGTACCACTTACAAGTTAATATTTATGTCCAAAGACTAAGTATTGATGTTGTGCTAGGTATCTTGTGATGGGCCCTACCACTATTTGAAATTATTATTTGCATATTAAGGATTGTGAGCTCTTCAACTTAATCGTTCTCTAATTCAGGTTCAGCTCCTGCTACTAATATCTATGCTAATATCAATTCTATTCCAATGCTTAATGGCACCAACTTTAAGGCCTGGCGAGAGAACGTAATGATTGTTCTTGGAGTCTGGATTTGGATCTTGCTTTACGGGTCGATCAACCTACTGCACTTACTGATAAGAGTACCTCTGATGACAAGAAGGAGATGGAAAAGTGGGAACGATCTAACCTCATAAGTTTGATGGTCATGAAGCGTGCTATTCCAGAAGCATTTCGGGGCACTATGTCCAATAAGGTGACTACGGCTAAGGGTTTCCTTGAGGACTTGAGAAGAGGTTTGCCAATAATGAAAGGGTTGAAACTAGTACACTTTTGGCAAATCTTATCTTAATAAGATACAAAGGGAAAGAAAACATACTGGAGTACATTATGGAAATGTTTCACCATTGCTTCAAAGTTGAAGGCACTCAAGATGGATGTATCTGAAGGCTTATTAGTTCAATTGGTTTTGATATCCATTCCAGCACAATTCAGTCAATTCAAGGTGAGCTATAATTATCAAAAGGACCCATGGTCCCTTAATGAGCTCATCTCACACCGTGTCCAGGAAGAGGAAAGATTGAAGTATGACAAGACGGACAGTTCTCATTTAGCCACCATCTTTAAGGACAAAAGGAAAACTAATAAGGGAGCTGTGGGTACAATATCACAAAAGAAACAGTATAAGGAACCAACTGAGGGTGGTTGTTTCTTCTGTGGAACTACAGGTCATAGGAAGAAGAATTATACCAACTATCATACATGGCGTGTCAAGAAAGGTACTCTTCTTAATTTGGTTTGTTCTGAACTTAATTTAACTTCGGTACCTAGATACACATGGTGGATAGATTCTGGTGCAACAACTCATATCAGTGTATCTATGTAGGG